GGCGCGCAGGCATCCTCCCCGCTAAGTTGCCGCCGCCATCTTCGTCCTGTGCGGCCACTTTTGGGGGGAGCGCGGTGTGGTGCGTCATCGCCTCCCCGCCCGCCCGCCCGCCTGCTCCGTCCTGGCGCAGTGGCGAGGGGCGCGGACAGGGGCACACTCGGAAGCCCCGATCCACACACAAGGACACCCCAACACACACTGACAGGGGCACTCGGGCACACACGCACCCCCATACACACGAGCACCCAAATACACATGCAGACACCCAATATACAGACACTCCAAGACACACGCAGACACCTCAATACACGCGAACAGACACCACAGTACACACAAGCACCCCGATACACACGCAGACACCCCAATACACACAAGCACCCCATGAGACATTCCAATACATATGCAAACACCCCAATACACACAAGCTCCCCAATACACAGACACTCCAGCACACCCACACCAATACACATAAGCACCCCAGTAAACACAGACAGGCACCCCAATTACACACAGGTTCCCCATAGTCAGGCACTCTAAGGCACACACAGAAACCCCAACACACACGCCAGTACACACAGGCACTTTCAACACAGACACCCCAGGACACACATGTCCCCAACACGCCACAGACAGACCCCCCAACTCAGCCAAAACACACTCCCCCTAACACACAGGGGCACCCCCAGCCCTCCAGTACGCACACCCGGGGCCCCTGGCTGGGGATTCTGCCTCTCCCTGAGTGCCCTATTTTAATTTTCTGCAGCCCCTGGGAAAAGTGGGGCTCCGGGGCCGCTTCTGTCCGGGTCCCGCGCTCCCCCCGCCTGGCGGAGCGGTCCCAGCCGAGGTCCCGGGCCAGGCCAGGCACCCGCACCTCACCTTCCCCGGGCGACCTGCTCTGAATGGAGCTGATTAGGTGGGGACGCGCGAGGTGACATTTGCTGCCTTTGGCTTTGCCTCGGTTTCTCAGCCCAACTAGAGAGCAGCGACAGCCCCCCCGCCCCCGAGCCCAGGTATTTTCTGTCCTGCTGGCACTGCATGGAGGGAGAAGGGTGCATCTGGGCATCTGCGGCTCTCCACGGAGTGACACAAGGGTAGCCGCACGCACACCGCAGCTCTGTGTGGCATCTCTGCGTGAGTGTTTCCCTGTTCCACACTGGGGATACGCGTGGGCTCTGCGAGGGCTGGGAGAGGGTCAGCGTCGCCCTGCGGCCGGAGGACATCTCGTCGCCCCGCGCAGCCCCCAGCCCTGCTCCACTGCTGCTGCTGCGGCTGTGGCAGGGGACTTCCGCAGCGCGCCCGGGCTGCAGCCCGGGGCTCTAGTGCCCCTTAGCGTCTGCTCTTGGAGTTCCGACAAAGGCAGCCCTACGCTGGGAAGCTGGGAAAACCGGGGCTCTCCTGGTTTCCGGCTCCAGCGGGTCAGAGGCTGTCTGCCGGGAGCTCCCGATCGCGCAGCCTTCGTACCCACCAGAGAAAAGAGGCCACGCAGGCCGAAGGCAGCCTGATGCGCACTCCCGCCTGTTCCCTACACGAGCCACTCCCTGTGTCGCTGTCTTCTCAGTTTCCTAAGCCCCTAACCCCTTGCTAAGGGAGCTCACAAGTGCCTCCTTCTCAGTAAACGCAGTACCTGGAGAAACCCAACAGAACGCAGGGGTCCTGCAGATTCATTTTCTTTTGAGAGGCGCTGTGGGCCATGGGCGCTGGAGATGGGGAAGAAGTGGGTGCTTTTTCAATGGGAAGTTTGCAAACTACACCAGATTCAGCCAACTGGCCCTTTCCCTTGCCTGGTGAGGGGTACGCTGAATTTCACCAGGCACAGTCTAAGTTCTGCAATACTGTTTGTAATGACTGCTGCAAAGCTAGGTCCAGCTTAACATGAATTTTGTCTTCATGCAAGTACTACATTAACATTTTAGAAAAAACTATAGAATGTTACAATGCAATGTTGAAAGTCACACGAGTCAGACATAGAGCCTGTAGTCCCAGCTACTCCGGTGACAGGAGGCTGGACTGAGACAGGAATGCCAAGCCACCCAGGGTCACACAGACAAAAAAATCCAAAAACTCCTGAATGACCCAAACACCCACATAGTGTAACTGTTTCCCTTTCACAGAATGCCTCTGGCATATTTATCTTGTTTTGAGCCCCCTCTTTCGAGGTACTTACTGATGTAAACATTTGGAAGGGCTGGAGTCATATCCATGTGTATTAGAATATAACACACTTTCCCTTCCATGTTGCACTGGTACTGAGTGTCAGAAATGCACGAAATTTAGTGATGGCTCAAGTTAGTAGTCTCCCCTTACTCCACATGTGTGTGGCCGAACCAGAAAGAGAACTAATAACGGGTAAACAAATAAACAATACACAAAATCAAAAGTGCAAAATTCCAAGCGGGGGAGAAAAGCAAGGGTGGGCTGCAAGTTTTATCTCACTGTTATGTGTATCTACCTAGGCAGTCTCAAAAAAATATTTTATTTATATTACAGGAAAACAAAATTGGTACATCTGTTTTCTATACAAGACGGGAGCCAAGTCTTTTTTTTTTTTTGGTTTTTCTCCGGTATCGGGAACCGAACTCATGACCTTGCGCTTGCCAGGCAGGCACTTTTGCCACTGAGCTAAATCCCCAGCCCCTTGGAGCCAAGTCTTTATTCCTTGGCAATCTGGGCCCTGCCTCCTCCTAACGCTTCTTATGACCTGAAACATTTTAAAATAAGGTAGTGTGTGTGAGGGGGTAGGATCAGAGGAAGTAAAGCACCACTGGGTGGACCTTCACTAGCTTCTCAGTATCCTGGAGTGACCCCTGGGAACAGCTGGTAGGAGATCCTGTCTGACCTCCTGGTGCCCAAGGGTGGTAGAAGAAAACCAGCCCTCTAGCAGGCACAAGGCAAAGGGATCCCTGAGGACACTGGGACTTCACAGGAGACCAGTGACCTACAGTCAGAGGTTCAGAGGGGTCATGGGAGGTTCTGGGGGCAGGGGCAAGGTCAGGAAGCAGGGGCAGGAAGGATTCTTTCAGAAACAGAGCACAGCTTCGGGAGGGTGCCCAGTGCTCCCAGACCCAGGCCCCCCAGAGTGTCTGGAGACAGGGGCCATGTGGGAGAATGGCTTGTCCACTGGGACGGGAAGCAGGAGGAGACCAGAGAGTGGGGCTCAGACTTCACTGGGGAGAAAGTAAAGGGGGACGGTGTTCCTCTTGCAAGGGGTGTGGATTTATTAAAGAAATTTAGATCATGACTTTCCTTTTCATTAACATCATCCTTCACCAAAATCAAAATGAGAAAGACGTGCAGAGAAAGTGTTCATCAGACTAGCAAATGTTGACTCTTGGTAGCTTATCAATCAAATCCTGCACAGTGAAAAGAAGAGGAAGTCGCTTGGCTGGATGTAGGTTTCATTTATCAGGAGAAGCAAGCTGTGGAGTCTAGAAACTCCTACGTAGGTTTTACCTAAGAGTGTAGCTAATGACACAGAGAAGTTTAATAGCACCAGCTCACATCACAAGGCTGCTGAAGAGCAGAGCTGCAAACGTGTTACACTGAAAAATCTAGTGCCAAGATGTACTTGGTACAAGAACATTCCAGAGACAACCTGCATATGTATCATAATACCATGTTTGCATGGCTCAACTTGTCATTTATGCTTATTTCCTGCAAAGATTTAAAGTTCTGAAACATACTGATGGTGCCTGTTTACAAGAGAATCTGTATTTTATTCATATTTTAATGGGTAAATTTGTTATCATTTGGAAGGGTGATGGTCTTCTTATTCTGCCCTAATACTGTAAAAGTGGTATAACCTTAGTCCTTAGGCTTAATGTCTATCAAATAATTTTATCATGGAAAAATATTGAAATCAAGAAATATCTACTAGTCTAAGGAAAGCTGTGGCTCAAACATGCCTGTTCCATAAGTGCAATAACTATCTGTGCTCACTGGGGTGTGTTCAGGTGTACACAGTACATTATCCTCACCGTAGCTCTTACACACAGTTGATAATCCACATGTGAGTACAGACAGATTCCACTTATTGCCACACTGACCTAGGAAAGGAATTTCATGCATGTCTTCAGAACTCACAGATAATGTGAAAATTCTTGGCCAGCATGTTCACATTTTTAAAAAGAGTTGAATTTAAGAGCTCATAGGAGCCAGGGGTGTATAGCTCAGTGGCACAAGTGCCTGACTGGCAAGCACAAGGTCCTGAGTTCAAGTCCCAGCACCAAAAAAAAAAAAAGACAAAAATGAAGTTAAGAGTTCATAAAAGAATCTAAGTTGATTAATCAGGAAAAATAAGCTCTTCAGGCCATCACAAGGTGCTCATATAAACCCCTCTTGAGGACACAAGTAGATTCGTGGCACCAGCAGATCTTTCAGCTCTGGGGGAAGGTTAGCCAGGGCCGTGCATGGACCGAGGGTCACCGCAGCCTGGAAATGCCTGACATGACTGGGCTGGCTGGGCAGAACTACAATTTCCTGTCACTCTGTGAACTTTCCTTAGTCTGCTCCTCAGTGACTTGCCAAATTTGGTGTGGGTTTAGTAAACTTGGGTCTCTCTTGAAGACCTGCTTCAGTAGAACTGGGGTGAGATCTAAGAAAACTGCATGCTTTTTATGAGTAGGGATGTAAGTGTTGTGCACTGCAAACAGGTATTACAGAAGGGAAGGGCACGGAGAGGGGGGCAGAGCGGGGAGGAAGAGGAGGGCAAGGGGATGAGAAAGGGATGAGGTGTGATCTGCCACGGCACCCACTCC